CTGAATTATTCTATGATATTGAATTTAAGGAGTCACAGAGGCAATGTTTTGCACATGCTTGCACAACTTTCCAGCAACTTTAGAACACAAAACTCCAGGGCTGCATGAACGCCATCCAATTAACTCAGGCATTCAGCACAAGACCAGATAAAGTCTCATATGCTTTCTCTCCCAAAATACTACTGCATCTCCACATGCAATCACAGCTTCACAAAGGCAACACATAAGAAATAGCATTTTCCCTGTCAAGGGAAAGCTCAAACCACTAATCCACATGCATGATAAAGTCAAGCTGTATAACTTCTACAACTGACTGTAGAAGACTGCTCACGAACCTGAAATGAAGACCTGCTCCAAAGCATCATACTTCCTCAAATGTGTTGAATGAAACAACACACCGAACTTCACATTTCCACAGCTACTGATGTGATTTGTGCAATAGTGTCACCTAGTGGTCTGTGCTTACAGTGAAGTCAGGGCCCAATTCAAGAAGAAAATTTACTGCACTTCTACCAACTTTGCTACTCTAGAAAAGCAGTGGGGACTCTTAAAGTATATATATGTATGTATACACACACACCCTCCTATATGAACCAAAAAGTGCAGTAATCAATAAGACAAATGCCATTCCATCAGTTTTAAGTCACACACATCTTTTACAAACTTGAAGAAAGTCATTCCAGAAATAGTTCTTTCCAGATGCAAGAAGCATTAGTGTCTGGCCTAAAAGAGAAGGATTTCCAGAGTGATGGATTAGTACTGCAATTTTTCATTTATAACAACAGAAAAGTTTCCAGCTCCTCAGGTGTATAATAATCATCCACTTCACTGACAAATACAACATTGCTATGTTTCTTGTCAAGAAGGAACACAAAGAACATCAAAGCTCTCTATTTACTGCATAAACATTATCCAAGTCTACATGTGCAGAACTTGCAAATAGTTTTAGGGTTACAAAAGCTCTCCCTAAACTTTAAGGAATATTCATGCTATTGATTCTTGAAAGATTGGTGATTTCTTCTAATCTTAGACTTCTGGAGAATGAAGAGAAGCGAACTTGAACTATTTCAAAATTCCAAAGATTTGTAAGAATGCTCAGTGAATATACCTTGAAACTACTAAAGTTCATTTTATCTTTCCATTTCTCCTGCTATCAGGTCTGCTTTGTGCAGACTTTGTTCTGTATTTGAATCAAATCATCATAGTTTCATTAAATTTCCGCTCTGTTCAATATCTTTCCCATCCCTCACCTCATCTACTGTTCACTTTCTTAGCCGAATAACTTAGGGATGAGAAACACAGTTTTCTTATTCTCCATAGGTTAGCAGGTATTTGGTTGCACCATAGCTCCTACTATGTTCAAAATACTCTTAACCACTGTCCAACATCTTCAATTCAAGCAGAGGAACTTGACTCAGATGGTGGAAGCCTCTTTTCAACGTGTTCCATAATGACCCAGCATTTATTTGGCTATTTTATGCAAGTTCAAGTTTCATAAGGTCTCCACCATAACAAGATGTAACTGAAATAACAAACTTCTAATAATTAAGTAAACAACCAAAAATACTGCATTTTTCTTGTGGCACAGCAAATACTGAGACCTGTTTTTTGCAGCTTGGATAATCTCTACATCAGAGAAACAGCAATACAGCAGACAGGTTGTCCAGTTTGCTCTTAGATTTCTTAGCAGGCTTCCAAAAACTAAGCAACTGAAACTTTTGCTGCATTGTTGGGTTTTTTTTTTTTCCTCTGCTCTTTAGATTGCAGTAGTAACAGAACTAGAGAAATTTCTTGTGTAAAACTGCACCTTTTGGAATTCATCACTGTGAAATCACAGTGCCCTGTCCAAAAGGCAGGGCATACAGACAGTCCTTGCTCATATGGCATATCAAACACTTTAGAAAAATATCTTCTTGTTCACCAATGTTGTGGTCCTTAACAGTTTCTAAGCTGTACACTAGTCCTATAATATTTGCTAACTTCAGCATACTAATGAAGGTTCTTTTAAAAAAAGACAGCCATCTCAATGGTATATTTCTATAAGCACTAAGCCACTATACAGTAGTAGCTTAGTGCTACTATAAAATACAATAATAGTATTTTACATTGTGAGATTATAGAGCCCACATAGAGTACAAGACATACTAGAAACACCACAGTACAGGTAGCTTCCATTCTTGGTCAGTGATACAACCAATGACAATGTGCATGTATACAACACACCAGAATCTGACATTAACAAGATTTATACCCCAGAATAAGTGAGACAGCAGGTACAGTAGAGAAAGCAACAGAATAAATAGCTGAATGCTGAAAAGAATTTTCAGGCTCTAGAGAATTTTCCCAATTAGAAACTGGTAATTCCCAGCAACTATCCCAATCGGATTTTTCTCACATGCCCTATGTGGAAGGGTAATTAACAAGATGCAGCATTTTATGCTACACTTTGCTGAACTGTGCAGACCTGAAAAAGTGGTCTTTCCACCCTAAAAAAGTAAGTTCCTGCACATAAACATTTTTCCATTTCTCATTTTTATCAATGTGGAATGCCAGATATGATTTAAACAAAGAAAAAAGCATACATTAGGTGTTGATTTAAAAGTTTTCTTTAATCACCAACACAGATAGCATGTCTCTGGCATCTAGGACGTTAAAATGAAAAAAACAAAGAAAAATAATTAAAAATTAAAACAAAAACTGCAAAATAAACTCTGAAATACTTCCCACTTCCAGCTTCAATGCAATCTGAAAAGTAATTTAAATAACGCTTATGATTTGCTTGTAATATTTTGTTTTCAACTGTGTGGATTAGACTCAATTCAAACTAAAAAAAGATTCTTTAGTATCAAGGATAGAACTATTACAGCTGATTTGCTAAAGTTTTGTATAGAAAAATTGCTGATTATAAAAAAAATTTACTAACTTCTATAGTGCTTAAGAAAATTGCACTTCTCTGTACTAATGCCAGCACTTACCAATTCAAATTCCTGTGTTACACTTCTCTCTAATAAAGACTCAATTATATAAAGGTATATACACTGAAATTACAAAAAAAGAAGTAATGAAACAGCAAGGAGTATTAAAGCACATATAAGTTTATCTACTTACCAGACCCACAAGACTGAAATCTTTGGAAGTTCATTTACAACTAGGGAACTAACCAAATAGCCATACATACAGTGATTTGATAAAAATTTAATACAAAGAATAACCTCAAAAATCTATAAACTTACCCCAATTGTTTTTCAAATATTTATATTGTCAAATAATGTTTAAGTTGTAAACATTTACTCTGAATTATTAAATAAATTAGATTGCCTTTCGTTCCCCCTCCTCAAGACACATGCCTCCCCACCCCCCCAAAAAAAAGGTGCTCAACAAGACAAAAATCTAACAGAAACCTTATTACCTTAGATTTAAGGTTTCACCAACAATTTCTTGCAGCTTGTCAATAAAATTAACAAGGTTTGAAAGCCCCTTTACATGGACTCTTAAAGGATCAAATAATGAAGATGCACAGCCTCTTCCTCCAAGTTCTGTGGTTCGGATAAAAGATGTTGCCATCTATTAGGAGAAATATTCAGAAATATGAAGCTGTAGACATATATGAAATGTACGCATGAAGTGAGTCTCTCCTACAGATTTGCAGTGCACAACAGCTGGTTGACAGCAGAAATAATTTAACTGAGATCAATAGAATACCTCTTAATGGCAAGCTTTGTACATCTCACCACAAATAGTTGCAAGATCAGTACTGAAATGGTGTAGTATTAAAAAAAAAAAACCACAAGCCAAAGCAAAAATGACCAGGCTAATTTGATATTTACATTTGCCTCTTGACAGCTTAGAAAAAACTTTATTAACACAGGGTATAGAATTTTTTGTTGTTGTTGCTGCTGTTTAAATGTTCATGCCGACCTCACAAAAACTACTCATATTCAGAGGGCTGTCTATGACCCAAGAACTATTTTAACATAAGCATGTAAAATTTGACTTCAGTAGTATACTTATTTTCAGAGGTGCAAATAGAAATAATATACACTCAAAGCTTCTGAAAAATCATGACAATTAAGGCTTCTGTCATCACAGGTACCCAATTGTGAAAATTTCCATATATTTTTATATGCTATAAAGACACTGAAAACAAGAGATGTCCCAAAAGCAGTACCCCTTAGAGGACAACCCCTCAAATCTTAAGGCAATGGTCAGGATAAAAAGTTTATCAGTTCTCCAGAAAGGTGAAAGTAAAGATAACAATCCAATATGCTTGACACAGATGCAGTAATATTAATTCTACATACAAATTGTCATTTCAGACTATACAGCTAAATCATAAAGCTCTTAGGACTGGAAACAGTACAACTGGAATTACTTTAGCAAAGAAAGTAAACCGAACAGTATTCCTGCCTTTGTGCTAAAGATTTCCCGTGGATCAAGTACAGTTCATAGGACCTTGCCTTCCCAATGGAAAACATTCTGGCTTTGCAGGATTTCTACAAGACACAGATGCCAGAAAAGAAGACTTCTTTACACGGTAGAGAAGTTTCCCCTCTGGCAACTGTAAGGAAGAGGTAATAAATCCAGTCCAAACACATACTTTTTTTTTTTTTCTTTTTTTTTTTCTTCAATGTTAACAGAGCATTAGGAGCTAAAACAATTAATCCTGGAACTGAGATTTCTCAAATTTTCCATATTTATTCAACCATGAAAATCTGAGAATGCAGCTGCTTCAGTGACTCTTACATACTCATACTGTTTTTCCCTAGTCTGTTGTTGTCTGCACTGAGGCCACTGTGCATGCAAAATTTTATTTTTTTGAATATGAGGGACTAGAGTGTTTCTTTGGAGAAAGAATTCTTACTCATTCCAACTATTGCTGAGATGTCTCTGTAGTGACTATAACTACTGGGAGTATAAATGCACTGCACATACTAAACTAGATTCTTTAGCAACAAGTCTCTGTGAGCACTGCACAATGATGTAGTAGCTTTTTACATTCCTATACAAGGGCATTGAGGAAAGAGCATACCACTGTCTCGAGGGATTTTTTCCAGTTCTGTGCCTTTCAGAATAAAATGAGCAGGGATGTCCCATATCAATCACATCTTGAAGAGTATTTCAAGACTGATCAAGCTGCAAATGACTGGAAAGTATTAGCCTCCTCAAATTCTGAGTCAAAACTGAAAAAAACTGCAAAACTGCCCTTTCAGGTTTTGGCCTCTGTTCTAGTGTACATGTCACAGGTAGGGCTTTGTCACCAGGTTGCTCTAAGAAAAGCAATTTCTACATAAAAATACTTTAGGTTCCAGATGTCTCCATTTTAACAAAAGCACAGAAAAATGCTGGTTTACTGTTTAACCAAAATACTTACAGCACTTTAAAACTGAAACACATTGTTAGTGGCTTGGTTTTCTTCATGCTAATACTGCTTTGTGGTATTTATTTAACCCAACCTCATTGCTTTTAGAGGTATTTGGTAAGCAGCAACATCTAGTCTAATGCCATTTTTTCTTCCTTCCTCTTTTTTCTTTGATATGCAGACGTGTGACCTCACATCACACTATTTACCAAGATTTCAAAATTTTAAAAGCAATAATAAAAATAATATCTTATACTAATTCTTATATTAATGTCGAAGATAGTAAACTTTTTCAGGATTTCAGTCACTGCTTGGAATGAATAGTCTCGGTGCTTGTTTTTACGATATCACATTTTAGAGCTCTAGAGGTACACATGCACACAATTATTTTTCTGTGCATCTTTAGATCTCATGACCAAGCAAGCAACCATTTCTTCACACAGAATCTCTGCTCTGTCTTTTTAACCTAGAAATCATATTTCCAGTGGTATTTCGACCTAGCTTGCAAATGCCAGTCTTGCATGTAAGATTAAAGCAACATTTTATGTTTATAGATCCATTTCATTGCCTCTTACCTACAACAAGTTTTATTTGACACACATACCAGGAAAATGGACATTTTTCTGTTCTGTGAAGCATGTTTTAGGTTAGTGAAGGCTTCTCTACCAAGTCCTCTGTCAGGAACATTTAGAATATGAGCCAATGCCAGATCATCCTTAGAATTCACCAACAGGCTTAAATATGAATAAACACATTTCTTTGCCAGGATTGTCACCTGTATAAGAAAGCATCACACAAATTGGTCATCTCGCTGCAAAATTATTTTTAAAAAAGCTAATTAGATATGTACTGATATGATTTTTGGAAGAGTAAGAATTTCACCTTGCATAATCACAAAATGCTATTTTACGTACAGGGACTCTGGAAGTATTGACAAAAACAAGCATGATTAAAATGTTAAAATTACGTTTCCTGTACTTGAATATTCACAAAATATTTGAAGGTTGGATCTTTAGCTATTAAAATTGGCTATCAATTTCTACTTAGAAACCTCTTCACATATATTCCTTTTCTATCCCGAGGCAAAATACTAGCACTATTAAACCACATAAGGATTTGTCATTAACTTCAATTAGGCTAAGATTTTAAACAACTCGACAGCTCTGCATCAGATTCAGTAATTTTTCCCTTGGATCCCAGGGCATTTCAATCACAGAAACTCCACTGACTGAGTTCAGACATAAACTGTGACCCAGCTCCACCCACATAACCAAAACATAACATTGTAATTGCTTATACTGAAGCATTGTTCTGGACCCTATAAGAACAACAGCCCCAGAACTGAAGAATTTACAGTTTTGTCGCAGGCAAAGGAAACAAAGACCAAAAAAAGGCCATTAACAAAAGGAAAGATAATGAGAAAACCTGTATTTGCTATGAAATTTCTTCTTATTCAATGGGATGTATACACAAAATGCAGGCAGTAAAAAAAACAAACATGTATGTATGACAGATAAGGAAAAAACAGCAAGGAATATTTAATATTTTTACTACACAAGTCAGAGCAGCAAGAAAGCCATTATGTTAGCAGTAGAAGTGTTATTTAGGGGAGAAGCTTAGTTCAGAACATATTTTCTTGTTCAGAAATATTTTTAATTGTACCCAAATATTGAATAGAAATTGCCATTTATCATGAGAAAAACAAGTCTGGAAATTACTAAACCTCCAGCACTGCAAGCATTTTCATATATCTGAGTCTCTTGTTTTGGGGGCTGAAAGGGTAAAAGTAAAGAAACCAGGATTCCCAGAAAGTCCTCAAGTCCTCTACTGGAACAGACAAGCTTTGTTTACTTTGCTACAGCTACCACTACAGTGGCTATTCAGATGTCTTCCATATGTAAGGGAGTATGAGCTAATAAAATGAAATCAAATAAGTTTACTTCACCTACCACTTTTCAGCATTGGGCAAATCATTTAAGTCTTAGTCAAGACAATGTTTGAGTGATGGTGTACTTGTAGAAAAGTTTATTCACTGGTGTTTTAAGGCAGATTAAGTCTACAGTTTCCTGCCACAAAAGGACTGTCTTCCATAATATAAATTTCTGCACTTACACCACACACATATCTACGATATATTCAAGTGTCATGTTCTGGTTTTTTAAACCAGCAACATTTTAATACCAACAACTGGAACAGGAAACTATGCTATATATCTTTTCAATATATACAGGATGTTACAAAAGAGACAGAAATAATTTTTACCTTCACATTCTCCTGGCTCTGTCTTTTGACTGGTGTCGAAGGAGTAGAAAGAACAGAATCATCACTTTCTTGTACATTCATTATGCCAGAAATAAATGCCAACAGTTGAACCTTTCATAAAAAGATTAGAATAAACTTAAATATGAAGATGACTAGAAAGCAAAAGTAGTATTAAAACCTTGTGTCTCCACTAGTTTGCTAGTGTTCTGAGGTTAACAGAGGCCTTACAACCTACTTTTGGTTTTAGTCTTTAAAAGTACACGTGTTTTAGAGACATGAGGTACATGACTCAAATTAACTTAGAAAAGATAGCTCAAACAGTTAAATAATACACTTGCACTAAAAGCAGCTGTTTATGTTTTAGAGAACATTTAATATGTTATACCATGTTTAGGAAGAGCTCATTAACACACCCCTAAGTTCCTCCCCATGAAAACAGGAAGAAAAAAAAATATTGCAGCTTCCATGCTCCTTATAATCTCTTGTGCCCAATATTCTCACGAGTGTTTGAGTGTAGGTTCTCTGAATATTTAAGGAAGTAGGCAAGCTGGTTACAAGAATACTTGTCATAGAATCATACAATAATTTAGGTTAATAGGGACCCATAGAGATCATCTAGTATAAACCCGCGCTTGAAGCTGGAAATGTTTGACCAGGTTGCTCAGTGACATGCTGAGAGAAGTTTTTAATATCTCCAGAGATGAGATTCCACATCCTCTCTGGGCAACCTGTTCAAATATTTGACCACTTTTTAATGGAGAAAGTTTTGATCATTCTGTAACTAGTAATTCATGGTATCTTCATAATATACCTCAGTTCAATTAATGCTCACTTACTGATACAACTTCCCCCATACTAAAATGACCATCTAATTAAACATACATCAAATTCAGACAATTAACTAAGCACTAATTTTAAAAATTACACACTGGAACTTCCCTAGCCTAGAGCATGGCCTCACATGCAGTGTCATATGAACGTCTGAGCTGCAATAAACAGCCCAGAGCTGCTGACTGAGTGACTGACATGGAACCTCTTTAGGTTTCTGGAAAAATCGGTCATGGAACTACACATAGTATAAGGAAGTTTTTGCTTCTAAGAATGTGGTATTTTTAAAATTATAACAATTTTAAATATTTTGACTGCATATCAACATACAACCAAAACTCCATGACACACATTAATCAGTAAGCTTTGTTCCAGTCTTAACAAATCTCTACTGTTCATATTTCACTTCCATTTCTGGCAAAGAGTGATAAATTCATAGATGTGCTGTACAGGACAACAGAGAAAAATACTTTTTGACTGAATTTAAGATCTCTTTTAAAGATTTAGCAATTTAAACTCAACTGTTTTCCCAACAGAAGACCAAAGTAACTTGTGAATAATTCAGAGCTTCTGTGTATATTCAGAAGTATCATAAATCCATAACGGGAATCAAAGATATGTCAAAACAATATCAAACAAACAAAATATAATCAAACAAACAAACAAAAATTATAAACAAAAATATAATCAAATCAAACAAAATACTTACAGGGGCTATGCTTTCTTCTTCAGATACAAGTCCAAGACCATAGCACTTCTGACATATGTCTATTAGATCTAACATATTGCTTCTTGCTAAGAAGGCATGATAGGCTTTTTTTTGGTCAGCATAATTTTCAGGTTCTTTCATGTTTTCGTATGATAATCCCAGTTTGTCATGTAACAAATATTTCCAAGTTTCCAAGACATCACTAAGTGATACTGTGAAGTCTCCATGGTGCTAATAGAACAGAAGAAAGCAAAAATATTGTTTTGTATTCAGTATAGGTTTAAAAATAACTTTAAAACAAACTGCATATATATATTTAAAACTATTATAATCTAAATATTTCTGTTTAAAATAAACGAAGTCTTACTTATAGTTGAAGTTCTTCCAGTGCTTTGCCTTTACAGTTGAGTTTTGTTATATGCAGTATTTGTTTCTCATCTTTAAGATACCAGGTATGTATAGTGAACTTTACTCATAAGAAAAGACACACTGACATTCACAAGACTAGTGCTTCCATGAAGTTATTTATTTGCAGAAATAGTTTTCAGCATAGCAGGTCATGTTGAAATCCAAGAAGCAGTAAATATAGCTCTACTACCTTGCTTCATGCAGTAATCTGGGAAAGGTATGCCATGTGCAAAGAGTTTTTTTTCTTGTGTTAGTGTAATTACACTTTAGCATAACATTGCTGGTGTTGCTACATAGATGTAACAAATGCACTAAAGCAATGCACACCTATCTGTCACTAGTACCTTAACTAACTTTAACTATGTGGTACAGGCCACTATCACATTCAGCTACTGGTCCACTCTCCCTGTCAAAATTATTAGATTAAATTCCATGTACCCCTCTGCCTTCTCCTCAACTTCCAAAAGGGAAAAAAAAAGAATTACAGCTTATCAGAAAATTAGCAGAATTAATAGAGACTAACAGAGTTAATTTAAAAGAACAGATAAAGTGGGTAAATGACAACAAATATGCGGGTAGCAAAATAACTAACAGCATTTTCTTAGCAACTGAAGAACTTTTTCCTATTACAGGCAAAAAAAAAAATCTAATTTATCACAAAGTAACTTAAGGGACTTGTATCACAGTTAGAAGTCCCTTTCTTCTTTCCAACTCTTGAGGAGTGCTCTGTTGACCTTTGGTGGACAGAAGCAGAAAATGTATCAACAGGAATTAATAAAATCATGTTTAACATACATATTAGTTTATCTTTTCTTTAAAGGATTTACAAAGTGGGAACATCTGTTATTACAACATTTATATGTAGTGATAAGTAGGGAGGTATTAAGTTATCATGCCTAAGCACTTCTTAGAGGAGTGAACACTTAATTATAAAGCAATGAACTTGAAATTTTGTTGTGCAGTTCTAAACTAAAAGCAAAAAGGGAACAAACTTTTCTTTAAAAGTTATTTCTACATGGGAGAACAGAAAACACTAATAACGAATGAGACTGTTTGTAATCCATAATGCTACATGTAATCTCATTTATGAAGCTGAAGTAACTAAAGAACCAAAGTTGCTCGCAAACCTGGCATGGCTGGAGGTTACAAGCGTGGCAGCAGGGTACAAACAGCAAACAAAAAAGTGTGGGAACAGATAGTGGAGCTGGAATCCACAGAAACATAAACCACGTAAGTGACAAAGCCCTGTTATTTGAATCACAGAGTGATGCGCTATTGAAGGAAGGAGGATGCAAGCTAGCTACTATCTGGATGAATTATTAAGAAGCTAGATGAGAGAGCAGTTATTGCTGCACTCAAAGAAATAATTAGGTACAATACATAATCTTATGTGTTTAATCCCCAACATTGTCTTTTTTAATTTCAGTAAAGTACCATTTTTTTAAACCAAGTGATTCACAGTTGGAGAGGGAGGAGTGGTGTGGAATCAGCTCCAAAAGCATCAGACATTTTAAGTTTTCCCGTTCAGCACGGGAGTACAAGGGACTGCAAGAAATCCGAGCCTGTCTCTTACGGCTGCCAATAAAGGCAACCAATGTATTGTCAATGGTTAAAGACTGCAACACTGAGGAACCCAGAAAATCAGTTTCAATCGCTGTAAACCAAGCTATACACATGAAGAAATAAGTGCAATAATGTGCTACTTATGTAAGTGAAAATACATAGTAGCACAGAATTCTGTCTGAGATAGACTGAGATAAAAGTAACAGAGACAAAATACAGGTTTGGGATGCAGGATTACATACATATTTCTGGACTCTGAAATTGAGAGTTTGGTCCTTTATTCATTAATTACTTGTTAAATTGTTTTTAATCTTTTGATCACTGATCCTGGACTTCCACTCCTCTAGTGTTCTCTGCCTTACCAAAATTCTAGCTAGGAGTTGCTACTCTCCCTTCACATCCGTACCTCATCATATTCTGTGCCTGTCACCTTGCTCCCAAATCTTGGTGTCTTATCCAATGTCCATCACAGTCTCTGTTTTCTCATAGCCATGTTTATTGCAGACCTTTCCATGCTACCATACTCTACATCCTCCTGATGCCAACTTCCTCACCACCATTTCCTCTTTCCCCTGAAATCTGTAACTGCTATGTGCTTTTATCCCCTCCCCTTTCACAACTAGACTCTTCATTTTCATCCACACCCGGCTCTTTAATCTATGTTCCAGTCCCCATTTCATGCTGTTAAACTTTTTCAGATGAGGTCCTTCTATTTGAGTTAGACCTCAGAATACCTGAAACAAGTTATTTTACAACTGAAGCAAACTTTCCAGTTTTCATCAAAGAAACAGAGTTCATACTACCAGTATCTAAAGCACTGCTTAGTATATGGCAGCAAAAAAAAAACAAAACCCAATATTATATGGTCATGTAATTATGATATAAACACCCCGTGACTGAGTAACAAGCCTTGCTTTGCTATGTCAATAACAGCAGATAACTCCTGTTTAGTGCAAAGATTTTATTTTACTTCATGACATTTTCACATAAAGCAACTTCAATCTGGGTAAAAGAATTACCTACAAACACCACTAGCAACTGAATACAAAACTAAATAGAAAAACAGGTTAGGACCAATTCTAATAATTTAAGCTGTTCCAGCCCAAAAGATCCCTCCTTAGGGTTCTAGCTTACTTAGCACAACTTTCCCAATAGGCCCGGTTAAATATACCATCCTGAATAATTTCAGGATTCCAGAGTCCTGAAAGTCAACTATTTTGATGTTGCCTAGACAAAGAACTAGGGGTGAAAATGAAAGAGTACTCATCCATATTACTTTCAGAGCACTTTTTTGCTTTCTAATTTCTGCACGGGTTACAATACCTGAAAACTATGAACTGGCATGCTATTCCACAGATTACCAGAATATTAAAATGGCATCTGTTTTCTGAAAAGCACTTGTTTTCCATTACAGCCCCTCAACAAACTAAACATGTAATCATACTCTAACCCAATTTAAACAGATCAAAAGAGTAGTAGGCTGGAGAAAAAAAAAATGTTTTCTCACTTTGTTTTGAAACAAAATCTTCCAGGAGTACCAAGTTAAAGTACAACTTCAATATGGTATCTAATAAATCAAAATTTTTCCTCACCGGACTAAGGACCTGCAGAGATTAGCAAAGTTTATATTAGTGCTGCAAAAATATTTTAAATCCAAATAAAACTGCACTCCAGATATTAACCTTCATGATCAGGTTCTCACTGTGACAGTGTATTCTATTACTTATACAGTCAATTTGTCAAGAGTCTCTGGCTTTAAAATTAATTAAAAAAAAATAATGTGGTGTTTTGCAGTAAGCATATGCCAACTGGCTAATAGCTTAAGGAAGTTCACAAAGTTCCATACTTTAATTCCATGACAGACACTGCAAGTATTGTGTTTCATAGGCATAAAAACAATGAAGTATTATAAAGCATCTTCACTTCTTGATAGTGCAGTATGTTAAGTTTCCTTGGACTCCTATTTTAGAATGCCTGAATTTCAGTAGTACCTGGAATGCCTAAACACACCATTTTTTAGTATTTCATAGGTATTGCAAGCTTTCTAGGGCTAACTACCTAGCAAAGTAGCTTCTATTTTGAAAGAAAATTGTTTTAAATGGTTTTAAAAACCAGAAAAACAGAAGTTATGTGTCTTCTATTTTGAAAGAAAATTGTTTTAAAAACCAGAAAAACAGAAGTTATGTGTACTTCAGCAATGTCATGTTCTCTTTTGCCTTCCTCAAACAAATGGCCATTAACCATTTTTGGAATATGTGTGTTCAAGACTGCTGTATTTCACCACCACCCAGGTGTTGCTTCTAGTTCTATTATTTTCAGGCATACTCCTAGTCTGCAGTCCTGTTGTCTGACATTGCCCTCAAGTCGTGAGTTTCTGCAGTCTTGTCACCTCTGGCCCTACTGAGCCTTTGTTGCTCGTGTATGCTCCCATACAAGACAGAAGCTACCAAACTGCAAACTGTGGTACATAAAGCACATTAAAGTAGTATAAAGCAGCATTTAGAATAAGTTTCCCATTCCAGTGAACATCGATAGTACCATGTACAGATTTAGAAACTGGTTCATGTAAGCACAAGTGTACAGACATAAGCATCTGGTAGTTGTTATATTGCAATCTGTCAGAAGCAAAGCCAGTGAAGTTACAGGTCAATATCTCAAGATAAGAAAAATGCCAGTACACATTGCATGGGAATTGTTTGGCACTGAACACCTGTTTTTTTTGGTTGTGGTTTTTTGGTTTGGTTTTTTTCAGGGGGGGGGACTGGGGAGTGTCAGGGGTAAAGTACCAGGGTCTTGGTACAGTCCAGTAGAGACATGCTCTGTTATGTATGAGTCAGGAGAACAGTTAGCAGTTGCAACAACAGGATCCTGAAACAGACAAAATGAAAACTGTACTCAACCAAGCAACAAACTATTGCTTTCGAAAGTCAACACTACCAACTAGAGCAGCAATAAGAACAAGATAAAAAATGTAGCACACTCGGTTTAAAAAGAAAAAAAAAAAAACAAAACACAAACACCCCC